CGTAGTGGTAGTGGCCTCCAACCTAGAAGTAATGATCTCCAACCTAGTAGTTGTGGTTGCAGTTGTCATTGTCTGACCATTTTTTACTTCCGCAGCAAAGGCTACTCAGTGCTGCAAAACAGTGCTGCAAAGGAGGCCATTCTTTTTAGGGGATTCCTTTGCTAGTAATTACAATTCTAAATACATTCTTCTTGTTACTACTAGTAAGGCACTTGTTACTACTAGCGATGCACTTGTTACTAATAGCTTCTTGTTACTAGTAGCAAACCTGTTCCTAGTAGTAAGGCCAGGAGCGCCCCTAGTAGCGTCCTTGCTTCCTTCGTAGCGAACCTTGTTACGATCAGACTTTGGACTATTCAGACCTTTACAGACTTTCACAGCTCTCTTTGCTAGTAGCGTTCTTGCTCCTAGTAAGGCCAGGAGAGCTTCCTAGTAGCGATGCCAGGAGCCCCTAGTAGCGTCCTTGTTACTTGTAGTGATGCCCTTTGTTTCTAGTAGCTTCTTGTTTCTACTAGTAAGGCACCTGTTACTACTAGCGATGCACTTTGTTCCTAGTAGCTTTAGACCTTTACAGACTTTTACAGCTTTTTTTCTTCGGGAAGGGTTTGTGCAAGCCTTCATCCGCTTTTCTCACCTCCTTCCTCCGTTGACTACGTCTGTGATGCTCACAGCATGCTTTGGGCTTAGCCCTTGCTAGAAGCCTCTTACTTAGCCTTTTCTTCACTACATGCCCCCTGATACACATGTCCTCTTTAATTCATTAAAACATTTGTTTTTTTTGAGACATGGCTTTCTTTCTTGTCTTGTCCTTGTTTTCTTGTCCCTTTTCATCACAGTCTGACGAGGCTCCTTCCCGGCGGTGCATACCGTGTGCTCGCCCAACAGATGGATTTGCCCCTGGACGAGAAAATCCGCCCTTCCCGAAACACAAATGCGGAAGTATCCTATATTCCTTTTTGTTTCCAATAGCGATGGCCTCCAACCTAGGAGCGTCCTTGCTCCTAGCAGCGATGCCCTTTGTTCCTAGTAGCATCTTTGCTCCTAGTAACGATGCCCTTTGTTCCTAGTAGCATCCTTGCTCCTAGTAGCGATGTCCTTTGTCCTAGTAGCATCCTTGCTCCTAGTAGCGATGCCCTTTGCTCCTAGTAGCATCCTTGCTCCTAGTAGCGATGCCCTTTGTTCCTAGT